CCTAATAAATGGTGAGGAAATAAGTAAAGACATTCTGCTTAAAGGAACACACTTTGTCAGAATAAGTTTATTTTGTAGACACACAACCGACATGGTGAGTGAAGTTGACAGGATATAACACAAACCCTCTAAGTTTTGCCCCTACCAATCAACCAGAGCACTGAGTCTGTAAGAGAGATGATTCAGTGTTCGGATATTACTGTAAGAGAATCTGAACACAGCTCCTGCCCTGCCAGGAGTAGTGCTGAGACAGCTGACAAAGTGTGTGACCCAGAACTTAGCGTTGACTTGATTACAGCCAACATATAGATGGTGATATAAGTCTTGCATGCAAGTACAAACATGTTCCAACCATTAGCGTGAGTTCTATAGGCTCCAACAATGTGGTTGACATAAGAAAAACAACCTGAAATAGGCCTGATAATAAATCCAGGCTCCCATGTACCAGGAGATCAGAAAAAAGCTGTACCATAATTAAAGGAAAAAACAAGCGTGGAAACACTCACATTCACACACCTGCAACATTCAAGAACCCAACAGCGTCCCATCCTGTATCCTGTAGGGTTTGTACATTAGGGTATTGAACTAAAACAAACAGGGGCACTGGTGGCGCAGTGGTTAGTGCACGCGCCCCCATGTATGGAGGCTGTAGCCCTCCAAGCGGGCGGCCCAGATTCAAATCCAGCCTGTGGCTCCTTTCCCGCATGTCATTCCCCACTCTCTCTCCCTGATTTCCAACTCTGTCCACTGTCTATCTCTCATTAAAGGCACAAAAAGCCCTAAAATAAATCGTGAAGAACTAAAACAAACATGCAAAGTTCAGTTTATGTTATGAAATATGACAAAACAGAATCAAATAGCATTTTTAGAATAGATATTCTAAGTGGATTAGTATGTGTTCATGCAGTTCACTGACTTGTTACGGCTCTGCTGTAATTAATGTCAGTAAATCATTTGTCTGCTACTTGACACTCGTATCCAACACTTGTTTGTCCCAGAGACTGAAAAACAGTGTTCTCTCTGCCAAGGTCAGTGCTCCGAACGCAGCTGGCTGGAATCCCCCAGACTGTGTAACCAGTGCAGCTCTGCACGTATACACACTCTCCTCCTCCTCCTCCTCTCTATCTCTCTCTTTCCTCTTTTCCGTCGACGCCACAGGAATCAAGCAGATATGATAACAAAGAGTTAACACACAGAGGAGGCGCGTTGGTAGACTTTTTTTTTTCACTTTGCCTTTAACTGTGGCATCTGAAAAGGTCAAAATGACATGATAACATGTAACATTTTTGTTATATTTGCATGATATGTGAGTAAAAATAATCCCAACATTTTGGATTTACATCATCTTATCTTCTGTGTTTGTCATACATGCATATTAAGCTTGTGTTCTTTATGTAAACAAGTAGAAATATATAGCCTACCGTTTGTGTACTGCAAGAGTAAGAATGAAATATCTGCTGCTAGATGCATGACTTCTCAAAATGATTAAAGTCATGATATCAGGTAATCCCTTTCAAAAAAAGACCCCAGCAGTTAGGCGTCAACAATTTGATGTCTTTTTATTTATGTATGAAGATGTTGGGAAAATAGATGTGAGAGAAATGATAGAATTGTATAAAAGAAAGTTGGTAAACACAGAGACACAGTGATGGAGAAAGTGGCAGTGGGAAGGTGAAAAGAAACAGAATGGGGTCTAAGCCAGTTATGAGACAAAATGCAAAAGTTTCAAGCAAAAGACAGAGTCAGCAAACACGAGAAGATTTAGAAACGTAATAAAAAAAGATGGGAAGAAGATTTCAACAGTAAAGGCCTCGCAAAGTATTTTCAATCCACAACTCTATTACCTCCACATCCCCCCTTTACGGTCGGGAAAATATCAACACAGGAAATAAAAACTCACAACAATATGCATAAAAAGAAAAGGAAGCGGGTTTGTCGAGTCAAACCGCAAATATGAGACGAAAGGGAGAAGATAGTGAGCAAAGAACGAGAGTGATAGAAGTAGGGAAGTGGTGAGCAGAGGAATATGAGGATCAAATCTAGCCCTCATTAAAATAGCTCACAGAGATATAGAGAAATGTTTAGTCTGCAGGAGGGTTGCAGTATAACACGGTTTCATAGTAAACTACAATATGAGTATAAACTACAATATGAGTATAAACTACAATATGAGTATAAACTACAATATGAGTATAGTACTTTAAATATAAAAATGTGTAAGAGGCAGTGACATGATGTCTTCTGTAACGCTAATAACATACAGTATCTTTTACAAAACTCTTGTGTTTCTTTTTTGGATCATTGTTACTGATTACTAATAATATTTTAGAAGCAGAGTGGCTTTTTTTTGGCAGAACTTCACCAACTGGGAAGGTGCATGAAGAGTGAAGAGGTCAAAAGGCCACAAGCCGAAACGCATCAGTCTTATTTGTTAATAAAGTTGATCTTCATACTACTTAGTGTTACCAATAATATTTGAGAGATTGTGCAACATTAAGTGACGTCATGAATGCACCCTGAAAATGTCTAGCTCTGTCTGCTGTTTAAACAGCTGAGCTGCTCTGTAAAAGCAGCACTGACCCTGTAAAACAGTTAGCACATGCATATATGTATCTTTGATACCAGCACTATGCTATCAAGAGTTGGTGTATAAGATTAAACACTCAGGGACTCTGATTTGGAATGTGTTGGTAAAAGATTGTCGTGTTTGTATCCTCCTGTTTGACGTGATTTAACAGCTTTTTGTCTGCTGTGCCTTTCATGATTATACACTTATCTTTAATCTTTATACAGTATAATATGCATAGTCCATGTTGGTTATTACATTTTGTTTTATTTCATTGTATGAACATGTTCATCATTTACTTTGCACATTACACTGTGTATTAATGCACTATAGAAATCTGATATCTCATGTCCAACTTCATGAACTTCCATTCATCTATTTTCGTTCCTCTTTTTTTTTAAATCCAGTAATACAACACTTTGAGGTGAGTATGAATTTGCCACCAAATGCAGCCATTATATAATCACAGGATCCAGCCAAATGAGAGAGAAACAGCCGACACTTCTGCAATAGATTGATTCCATATAAATGCTAATATCTCCCGCTTCATCAGGGGTCGAGACAGGACAAACGACGTCTCCAGGCTTGGTAAATGACGGCTTATAATGGCAGAGTTCATTAACCTCTATAACATTGACACAAAGAGAACTGAAATATGCTAAACCAGTGTGGACACGCACACACACACACGCACGCACGCACGCACGCACGCACACACACACACACACACACACACACACACACACACACACTCACTCACTCACTCACTCACTGATGCACTGATGCCTTTACCTCATCAGGAAATAAAGTTTTTCCTGGACAGCATTCTGGGAAGTCTGGACCACACCTAACCTGTGCGTGTGTGTTTTGTGTATGTGTTTGTGTATCAATCAATCTTATTACTGCAATAACAACAAAAAACAAATACTTTGAACGTATAAAATAGAGGCATATGAATCACACTTCTCTGTTTACTTTCAGGAAGATAAATTAAATCTAGAAGGACAAATAATGTATTACTTATCTGTATAGAAGGGCTCCTCAAGTGCAAGTATGTGTGAGGGTAAATATGTGTGTATACAAACATCAGCCTTCCATTGTTTTGGTGATTGTAGCGTGAGCACAGCGACCGGTGGCTCAGCTGCACATCACATCAAAGATTTGGCTGTGCAGGGAAAAAAAAGACCACAACATACAACATGACAGGTGTGGTCTCTCTCCTGGTCCCAGCAGGCTATAAAAGACAAAGACCCTCAGGAAGAGGCCGTCCACTCATCCTCACTGAGGACACACACACACACACACACACACACACACACACACACACACACACACACACACACACACACACACACACACACACACACACACACACACACACAACACTCTACAGGACATTAGCCCGGCAATAAACAGAATAGGACTGATATGATTGATTTCATCTACCTTGAAACCATCTCATCTCTACAACAGCATTTGTTTAGTGATGATGATGTTAAGGTTTGTTTTTGTTAATGGGTAGTCCTTTCAATGTCATTTTTGCAAAAATATAACAATCATTTAAATAATGACGGGGATTATCTGTCAAGTGTTGAAATATTTCCAATAAAAAAATATTTGGTTTTACAACCACAGCTGGGTCTTTCTGAGCTTTGAATGAAATGATCCAACTCTGCAAATCTCTTTAAATGTAAGACTGATCAAGCCCTGATCAAAGAAATTAGAAATGAAACTAATAATTTCACATTTTGGCTGTTGCTCAGCCACTTGGTTTCAAACTAGATATTTACACGACAATCTCAGATATTGGTGACTTTGAAAGGTCAAAGAGGGAGCAAAACATTATCACCTTCAGATTGTGAGAGTTTGTGTTGAGAGTTGTGGAGAGTGGGGACCTTTAAGCTTTTCTGAAGGTGGTCATCTCTAATATTATTTAAATATAAGATTTACATGCGTTCAATTTTAGGTTTATAATCTTAACACTTATTATTTTTATAACATTATTTTGTCCAGCCTCCAACCCCCCTTTGCATAGGTTTTTTTTTTTTCATGTAGGCTATTTGACGTCTGTATTGTATTAAATGTAAGAAGTAGGCCTAAGCCGATAGTTAGGCATCTTAATAAATACGTAAGTAAGTCAGAAGGCTAAGTATCGTATAAGTAGTATATAAATAAATCTGCACATATATCTTGTACTCTGGCGCCATCATGTGGTGTAAATACAGACATGCAGGTTATGTTATTTGTATCAAAGTGGCAATCTCGGTATGAGCAAACACAGAACTGAGTAATAATGAAATTTAAAAAAAAGTAGCTAAAAATTAAAAAATAATTTCAATAAAGCTGTTCTTAAAGTCCTGTATTTGTTTCCCTCATCGGTCGCAGGACGGCGCTGTCTTTATAAAGCTCACCTTTGACGTCATCGAAACTCTTCCGGGGTTGTTGTTGTCGCTCAGGTGGGAGTTCAGAGTGCAACTCGCACAGGTCGTGTTCCGCTTCCACTGTTAGCTCCTGAGGTGTCATAAAGGTAGCTGCAGGTACCAGGGATGTGATGGCCTTCATGAGTCTGTTCATGAGGAGGCAGTTACCGCAGGCCGTGTGCTACTTCGCCCGGAGAGTGAGGCTGGTCCGGCCTCCCTGCGCCGGACCTCTGCTGAGGAGGAGACTGCACGGCTCGTCCCGGCAGCAGCTCGGGGAGAAGGGACCGTGGGGGAAGATCCGGGGACCGGAGCAGCAGCAGCAGCAGTACCAGTTCGCAGACCTCGACAAGGCGGACGCTTTGGTAGGTTCAGCCCGGGAGAAAAAAAAACAACAACTTTCCCTTCACTTCATTAAATGAGCTTCTAAACCCTCTTCCTACATATCTTCATTGTGAAACGATGATAGATGCGTTTTAAGGAGGTTGGTTTTCCTAATACTTTCCTTCTCTGTTTTTTTTTTGTTTGTTTTTTTTTTTTTGCAGATGCTGAGGAAGTCCCACGAGACAGGTAAGGAACCCTGAACCTCACACGTGACAGGTGATCTCATACCTGCAGCTGCTTTGTTGTAGAAATATAATAATAGGAGTAACAAACATCTCCCTTTTAGTGTTCTCAAGCAGTAGTTCCACCTGGCTCTTTAAAATGACTAACTTTGCTGCAGTCCATAAATGGAACAAGTTCACAAAATGAAAACCTGTATGAAGTATTACAGCAGTAATGTTAAAAGCAGCCTAAAACATTTGAACAGTTTCCACTCGAGTGTCATAGATATTTGATTTAATGAGATATAATTGGTATTTCATATCAGTTCAGTGTCTTTCTAACATTTGAGTGACTATAAAGTAAAGATGTAATCTACAAACATCAAAGAACAGAGAGAGAGAGAGAGAGAGAGTGGGAGTGAGAGTGAGAAATGAGAGCGCATGGAGAGAATGATTTCCCTGTTTATTGTCTTGACAGTGGTGTAGTCTGTCTCTGTGATGGGTGCTGACACTGTGGCTCAGACTGGAGTTAAATGTGAAGGCCGGCAGCAGGAAGAGCGGTGAAGAGTGGGTGTAGTGATGATCAGGCAGCACAGGAAAGAGAGAAAGTCACGTCTCCACATTCAATAGAAACTGTTTGAAAACTTGAACTATGTTTTTTTTTTAAGTTTGGTTTATGTTTCAGTTTTGTTGACATGAAGGTGGGACGACGTCCACTATTGTACCCTAACCCTGTGCACCTGTGTCCTTTTATCGACTGCTTTTAATTAAAATTAAATCAGATTTGAGTTTAAAAAAAGACATAGGTTAAAGATCTGTTTAATCTCTGCTTCAATGACCATTTTCCCCTGATGTATTGTTGAAAATCATCATTGTCCCTCAATCTAAATTCCATGGTTGTGTCCTAACTTCCCATCTACTAAACACTAAACATGTACACTTCTGACTAATCCGATTGTTGGGATTTACTGACTTTTCATAGAGAGAAATATTTAATTACTACAATTTACAATTAAGATATTTACCTTCAACACCGTTACTTGTAACTACGTAATTGCTATCTGTGCATCGTCTACTTGTATGCATGGAAACAACCTGATGGATTCTGGCTCTCTGCACAGATGTCAGGCTGTAAAAAAAAAAAAAAAAAATCTGGTCAGCTGTTTATTTCTGCCTTTGACTGTTCTGCAGGATTCCTCTCGTGGTTCAGAAATGGTCTGCTGGCAACTGGGATCGGAGTAATTGCGTTTGTCCAGAGTGAAGTGGGAAGAGAAGCCGGATATGGTAAAGATGCTGACCCTCTGTTTTACATAGAGTTGCATTGCAAATCAGACGGATCTCTAATGCAGTGCAATAACAAACAGAAGTCTGTGTTTTAAAACGAATAAGAAAGGGTGGTTGTAGTAAAATGTTTTAAAAGATAAACGAATGCCCATGAAAAAAATGTCTTTTTACCTATATCATCCAAATGTGTCACCATACCTCTGCTCTTATTTGAAATCAGCTTCTTAAGAGGATCTTGCAAAATTTGATAAAATGAATATTTTCACAAGTACTTCTGCTACAGACTGAAATCATCATGAGTAAATAAACAGCTGAGATCCTTGAGTAATAACCAATGTCTTGGTTGTCTGAAATACTGCCTTTGAGCGTCACATTTCTATTAAAACTTTGATTCAGGATAAATGTTTGAAAATAGCACGAAGACTAGACTTAGCAGACATAGAATGTCTTTATTGTCATTATACAGTTGCACAATGAAATTATTTGGCTTCACCTTAAAGTGCACACACATACAAGCATCCACAGCTAAAAACAACAAAAGAAGAAATAACAAAAAAGGAACTCTCATTCAGGTAAGATGGGCAATGTATGGTAGGAGTTATTTACAGGTGGTAGCATAACAGAATATAAATAGATATTGCAGAAATATAAAATAAATACTGCACAGTATGAAATGTAAAATTATTGCAGAAATATAAAATATTACCAGGGAATACTTTGAATTTTCCTGTTTGCTTTCATGCAAATAGTTTGACTAGCACATGGTGCTTAATTAAATCATAAAGTTCACATTAATAATGTCAGAATAAAGGCAAGTTAACCTTATTCTAACATGTATAACCTCTCTGAGATCAATAAGAAGCACTTCAGATGAGAGATCATTTACTTTGAGTTTTGTAGAAGTAGTAAAATCAGTTTTGTGTTTTCTTACAAATCTGCCTCCATGGAAAAAAAAAAAAAAGGAGATTTCCACACAAAAGCCTGCCAATCTGTGTTTCCTCAGCCTTCTTCATCCTGGGAGGTGTGTGCGTGTCTTTCGGCGGGGCCACGTACCTCGGCAGCCTCTTCGCCCTGCGGAGGCTGATGCTGCTGTCTGTGCCTGCACTGCTGCTCCAGAGTGCAGCGGTGGGCAGCGTCGCCCTCTTCTGGCTCTGCGCTGTATCTCTGTACATCGGCCGCCTGGAGGTGGAGATCATCCACGATGAGGAGGATGGAGAGGATGAGGAGGACTGTCGCGAGTGCCGTGAGAGGCGAGAAAACAGAGGTTACCGTGACAGCAGACATCATGACAATGAGGACAGTGATGGCAAGGGGCCCAACAAGTAGAGAAAGTGGAAATGCTGTGTATGCTGCTTTTTTTTTCAGGGTTTCCTCTTGTTTTGTATGCCTGTGTGGTTGTCTGTCTCTGTGTGTGTGTGTGTGTGTGTGTGTGTGTGTGTGTGTGTGTGTGAGTGCATGTGTGTAAGTGCAAGCAGTCTTCATGTATATATGTAGGCGATGGGAGTCTAAAAAAACAGACCTATTATCATTAATTATATAAATGTTAAGATTATTGTGAAGCAGACTTTTTGACCTTCTAAAGAACTGGTCAGAAAACGCTGAAATTTAGGTTCACTTCATTTGAATAAATCTGTTTTTTTTTTTTCTGTCTAAGTTTTCTAATAATCAGATATATTGAATGCTGCTTTACTTTCCTCCTCAAATTGTCTGATTTTCAAATGTTTTAACATCCTTACATTCAAAGACAAGAGACTCAAAAGAGAACAGTTATTTTTGTCCTGTTTGATTTTCAGGAGTTCTTTGGCTTTTCTTAGCCAACCGCTGTTTTGTCTTATCTTGTTCCACATAATTAAAAAAAAAAAAAAAAAATCACAGAACTGTGATTGAATACTTGAACTTTTCATTGACGTCTAGAAATCAAACCAGCTGGTTGTCACATGTTGTGAGATAAAGAATGAATCCACACTATGTTCACGTTCAGGGTTGTCTTTAATGAGGGCTTGAATATAGACTTTTTACAGAGGTTACCCGGTGAACTGTTTTTCTTTTTTTTTAAAACCTTTCTTTTGTAAGGGAAAACGCACTTTTCTCAGACGATCTCCACTTGACTTTTGGAGTAAAGAGTATTTTTCACTGCTCTTTCTGTGGTTCTATATTTGACTTTACATTTGATACACATGTATGGTAACCACAAACGACTTCACCTTGAGTGAATGTCATACTGTGTCTGGTGGATGCTGTTATAGCTGTTTTCATGGGTATCATGAATAGCGGGGGTTTTCTCTTGTTTACTTCTGTCTGCGTGTTTAACACCCTCAATGCACCCTGCTGTACAGACAGAAATAAAGCCAAACTAAATCTATCGTAACTTGAGTATATTCTTTATTTGCTTTGCATCCAGGCGTTTTACTGTGGTGACCTCAAAGCAGATACAGCTGAGCCTGTTTTCACAAACATTCTGAGAATCCTCTCAGAGCGCTCCTAACTTAGCTTAAAAAATCCAAGCAGGTATTTTTTTTTTTTCTAGCGTAGGAGTGATTTAGGAACATCCTGAGCGACGAAGAGACAGAAATGTTTATCTCAGTGAGGAGACGTGGTTGACCCAGTTGCTAGGTATGACACATTTTTACACAAAAAAGACACAAAAAAATGGAGATTGTCAATTATAGAATCTAGTCAGACGTTGTGTAATTATGAAAACTGTGGAATTAGCATCTGTGTGATACATTGTAAGATGTACATTAAAAGTATATAGACTACAAGATGTTTGAAATCACAGACCACCTTCTGCAGCAGCCTCTTCACATTCTGATCGTTACATCAGCAGGTGAAGAGTCTTAATCAGTGATCGGATGCACCTGTGGAGGTAACCACATGTAGAGAAGCTCAACATGCATGTCTCGCTTTGCAAAAAAGTCATACGGATGGATTGAAATGTCTATGTAAATAATTTGTGTCTGTTCAGCCCAACTATGAGTCAATAAGAATATTCTTTGTGTAGTGTTAGCAGAACATTTTTCCATTTTCTCCTCAGCTTGAGAAACTCTTAAGCCGATTTAAAGTCCTCCTTACTACTCCTAACAATTTTACACTTTAGGAGCTCTATTAAGAGCTAAGATGCTTTGAATCATTTTCACCAACTTTCAAGGATCTAGTTTTAACTTTAAGGGGAAATTCTTAGAAAATGTCCTGATTCCAAGAAATTTCTTTGAATGTTGTCACTAGGAGTAACTCTGTTGAGTTCCTCTACATGTGGTTACCTCCACAGGTGCATCCAATCACTGATTAAGGCTCTTTACATGCTGATATAACAATCAGCCTGTTAGGAGAGACTGCTGCACATAGGGCATGTGATTTCAAACATTTTGCAGGCTATATACTTTTAAAGTACATCTAACAATTGTATTACACAGAGTTGTTGATTTCATAGTGTTCATAATTACACAATGCCTGACTAGATTATATGATTAGGCCCAATCAATTTCACTGTTTGTCTATTCCCATTATCACAGTTTTTTTTGGATCAACCAATCACAGCTTCTGAAAAGAAAATGTCATACCTAGCAATGGAGTCAAACACGCCTCCTCACGGGGATAAAAGTTTCTGCCCTGTCGTCGCTCAGTTAGGAGGTCTCTGAGAGGAGTCTCTGAATGTTTGAGAATACGGCCCCTGTTGTCCACAGAAAGATGAGGTGGTTCTATTTGTTGGTGTTTTGAGAATTTAGACACATTTTTTTTATCTCTCAGACTTTGACTATGTTTTTTGCTTATTCACTAAATGATTCTCTTACTTTCAGATTATTCATGCTGTTTTAGAGGGGAATAAAGGTACATTGTCCATAATCGGTCTAATAATGGTGACCTATGAGAATCATATTGAAAAACTTGCCACCACATATGCATTTAAATTTGAGAAACATCAACTCCAACAAGTTTGATTGAACAAAAAAAATAAAAATCAGTACAGAGGACACGACCTCCCTGTCCTCGCTGTGAGCTGGACTCCGTTGAGGACACAGAGACGTGAAGGAGATTTAAAAGAGCTCAATACAGAGACTGCATACTTAAATACCCACATACAATCTCATCAGCAACCAACCATGGAAAAAAAACTTTTCCTTTAAACTTAAAACATTAAGAAATCAAAACAGAAGAAAAAAAACACAACACCTGTAACACGGTGCATCATAACATCATAAGAAGTTGTTATATTTTGTGAATTATGCAAAACAGGCCAAATGGAACATGCAGGGTCTGTCAGAGTCAGCCGTAATGCTCCTTACAGTGGGAGTCAAAAGATGTACAAACTGTCCACACAGCCGCTGTACATGCATAATTCTTATAATGAGCATCTCATCTGCCAGCCTGTGTTAATTTATGAACTGAAGTGAGCAGCATGTGGTTCTTGCTTTTTTTTTTTTCTGTGTGCATGTGTGTGTGTGTGATTGGGGTGGGCTCTGTCTGTGATAACTATCAGTGACTAGGTTAGGGCGAAGGTCTGTGATATCTCCCGGCCATCGACATACCGCGTTGCTGTTGAGACTCACCTCAGAGTCATCCTCTCTTCCTCTTCTCCTCTCCCCCTCTTCTCCTTCGCTGATTCCCAGGGCGTTTCAGTGCAGCTGTGTTTCACATGCAGGGTGTGTCTGGACGTCTGCTGCAGTGTGACCAGCACCTCCTCCTCTTCCAGCCCCTCTCCTCCCTCAGATCCTCTCCTACCCTTTCGCCCTCCAGTCCTTTCTGTCTTTCTTTCCCTCTTTCAGGACTCCTCCTCACGTTCTCCTCCACCCCTCCCCTCCCCTTCTCTCCTTTGCTTCCCATTCCTTTCCTCTTTTCTCCTCCATCTGACTGCACAGGTCTGTTTGGCATGCAGGAGGCTCCTGAGGCCTGGCGCGTCTAAAGGGCAGGGCGCCCAGAGGCAGTAGACGCGCCCTCACTGACAAACACCATACAGCCCAGAGCCCGAGCAGCTACAGAGCCCACAACACTATCAGCCAGAGCTCAAAGTCCAAATCTAGCCTCATGCATCTCCGAAAACCTGCGCCGCACACTCACAGAACTGATTGTTTTGAGTGCAGGTTGCTCATCTGCTCTCAGGTGTTAAATGCCATGGCATGGATCAAAGGATCTGCTTTGAGAAGTGTATTAACTATGGATGGCCTTCTTCTGGCTGAGAGGAGACAGAGGTGAATGTTGGGAGAAAGTGACAAAAACAGTAGATCTACTAGAGAAGGGATGGAAAGTGAGAGTTGTAGATGTGTAGTTCTCTGGTGTCAGATGGAAGCTGTCTGTGTGTCTCCCTCCACCCCTCACTCTATTATTCCTACCCATATTTATACTCTTTCAGATGCATTTACATGTGCTCAGGTATTTCCCCTGGGAGCACGACTCCAATTCAGGGGGTTAGATAAGCCATCAAAGTCAGTGACAGAGAGGGCGTATGGGTGACTCGATGACAGGCAGAGTGGAAGACAGTCAGCAGAGATGCCATGACTTGTGCGCGCACATATTTCGCACACACACAATCAGTGACACAATCAGTGCACAAGCATTCCAACTGTACAAGCACTCCACAGAAACGGAGATACAAAGGGAGAAAGCAGAGGTTTCTGTGCACACACAAACACATCAGCGCACTCACTGATACAGTACATACGGTTTTGCACGTACAATGGCGTTTTCTCCCCAACAACTGCTCTTGTTTAGTATGCGCTTCCTTTGGTCTTGAGGAGGAATGATCCTCACTCTAATGAACTAGGGCCTGCCACTTGAATGTAAAACAGGATTTAACCCGTCTTCAATGTCAGAGCCCCTCCCTGGGGCTGCTTCAGACAACACACACGCACTCGCAAATTCATGGAGATGCACACATACACAGACACGGACGAGCAAGCAAACCACCAGTGTACACACCCATACACACACACACACACACACACACACGCACATACATGCTGATGCATACCGGTATATAGTTTCTCAAAAGTGAGACGGTCCTTGTTCTCTCTGTGCTTTTCTCTTGATTTCAGAGAGATTCATGATAAAGTCTTTGCTTTATCAGTCACACTCAATTAATGCCCTGCTTCCCGCCAGGATCGCTCTCTCACCTGCGTCCACTTTTCCTTTAATCTGAGATCAATATATTAGTGTTTTGTTGTATTCTCTAGTGACATGCAGAATAAGCCGCCTGCTGTGTTGACAACACACAACTTCTTGCTGTTACACACATTTTCGTTTAACGATGCATCCCATGTGATTGTCATTCTCTAATGTTCATGTTTGTAATGTAAGTAAATGAAGTGCAGACATTTTTTTTTAAATCTAAAATTATCAGTCCCAAATATGCCTATGAATCACATGTGAATGCTAAATTAACCATGTAAGGTAGTAATGGACTCATGACATGTTATATATCTGAATTGTTGACTGTAGGTGCAGTACAGACAAAAAACAAAGAAACACAAAGTCTCGAGTTGTGCTCCTCTACTGGAATATTTTATTGTTATTGTAATCTGTATCACTGTTCCTTTTTACATTTGCTCATTTTATTTGATGAGTTGAAGTATTCACAAAGATGGAGAATAACGTTAGCTTCACAGTGATGGGCAAGGGGTTAGATATTTGATTTAAAAAAAGAAAAAAGAAAAAAAGAAGGACCAACATACATTCTTGTACAAGCACACACATCCGCACTCAATCACACACACACATACACGTTTTACCATTAAACACCCGAGAATATCTGTGCGCTCACACATATTTGTATGTGGCAGCTACACTCTCGGAGCGTAGTGCACATCGAATTTGCACATTTATATATATGTTTATGTTTGTTGTTTTTTTTTTTTTTTTTACATTTTTTCCTGTCTGAAAAAAAAACATCACATCTTTCAGGTCATCATAGAAGCAAATCCAAAAACCTCTTACAAACAGTGTGTGGGCTCGTTTTGAAGACTCTTCAGCAGAATATATTTAAATTTATTTTCATTTTCATCAAATGAAAGTTTGAATGACTTTATTCCAAAGTGCTAGAGAATTATCCGATGTTTGTTTCTGGACAATTATCGTTTAGAATTATTCTTAAATTGACATATTGTAAAAAAGGAAAAAAAAAGAAAAAAAAAAGAAGATATCACATTTTAGATCGATCGGTTGCGTCTCACTTCAAAAAGTGACGAAAGAAAAAAAGTAATTTCATAGTTTTAATATAAAATATTTTGTGTTTGTTTCCTACATTCATGAGATGAATTGCAATTATTTCATTTTGACACAAAAATGTGTTTCATATTTTCATGATCTCAATTTCAAACTTGATCTCGGGGGTTGACTGAATTGAAACAGTTTTTATTTTAAAGACCTCTATTGGTCATCTTTTAATGACTGTACATGGTCGCTTCATTGACCCTCTTTCTTCTTCTCTGTGGTCAGCCTATCATATCAGTGACCACTCTTGCATTGTTTTCTGTTTTAACAGGCTCACACAATCCGTGCTAAGTGATATAGTGCTTCGAGTTCACATCAGAACTAATTTCAGTAAGTGCTCAGAAAAAAAACACACAGGCTTCAATGATGATTAACGCTCTGCCCAACACCCCCCTCCTTAAAACATTTCCAGAAGTATCCTTTATAGAGGATAATATCAAAAAGGTATTTGGATGACATTATACATCCAATAACAAGTTATTCTGTTTGACTATACTAATTTTTCACACCATTCTTCCATCTGAATAATCTGGTAATAAAAGCAATAGAAACATTACAAATTGAAAAAAACAAGAATATGGCTTTCATACACAAACACAGCCGCAGCATCATACAGAATATACTGTAATTAAAATTCATGGAAACAAATGATCTCACTATAATAATACTGTCCTGTCTGCATTGCATTTTCTTCCCTTATACATAATGGAATGTCTGAGACTACTTTATTCATATTTTGTCCCAACAGTGTGCTTTAAGTATGGCTGACTGATGAATACTTCTTATTATCATTATTTTAAATCTCAATAATAAAAAAACATGAGGGCTGTCTCCATCTATTTTTAAGGAAAACCCTATCATCAACTGCATTTCTGTGGAAGAGATGATTTTTTTTTTTACAATACTGCAATATCCAAAAATGTATATCCCAAAGTCCCTTTCATTCCTACAGTCAAGTGTCCATCTCCCTCTCTCCTGGCTTAAGGGTAATTGTGTTCATCTGAGTGACAGTGAGGATGATGTGAGCTGAGGGTCTTTATGGTTTCGTCTCTATGTACAATATGGCTTCTCTGAGTGGAAGAGACACAGAAATCAACACAGTTATCTAAGAAAGACACAGCAGAGTTCATTATTGTTGTAAAGATGGAGAGTCTGAAGGGACCACACGTCAAAAGTTCCCATGTTGCGTTTTCTCGAAGAGTCACTGACACGGTGATTCCCCGTGGCAGAGACTTGTCACATATTTTAGATTGCAGTTATTCGACTCATTGTCCAATTAGTAACGTCCTTAGAGGCTTAATGTCCTGCCACTTCTGTCTGTGCTGCCCTTTTCACTGTCTCTCTTTCTGGTCTGTCACTCCTCTCTGCTCTGTCCTTCATTTTTTTTTTTTTTTTATCTTTTCCTCTTTGAGTCTCAGTCGTCCTCGGAGCCCGCGGCCCCCCTCAGTCCATTCATACAGAAGGGCAGGCCGGAGGAGAACGGGTTGTCAGACGGGGAGAAACCGCTGAAGGGTGGCAGGCCGGCCAACCGCTGCAGGTGGGGGAAAAAGGCAGGTGGAGGTCCCTTGTGGTGGTCCGAGCGTAGCTGCAGGCTGTCGCTGTGTCCTGCGCCGTGGTGGTGGGAGGGGGGCAGCTCAGGCGGAGCGTAGCGGATGGTGCTGGGAGCGTAGAGGCTCTGGGGGCCCTGAGGGCCAAGTGCGAGGGGGTGGAAGAGGACCCGACCTGCTGCTCCTCCTGCAGCCAGTCTCTGCAGCAGCTCAAAGTCAGGGCCGTTACCTCCACCACTACTCCGACTGATCGCCCCCGATATAACCCTGTCGTCGCGGGGGAGCGGGGAGGACACAGACATGGCGGGGGACAAAGCTGGAGAGGGGGGAGTGAAGAGGCCTTTTGGAGGAGCCTCACTGCTAGAGGAAGAGTCAGGGATCGGGGTGGTGGGGCTGTCCCCATTGAGGCTGCTGGAGGGTGTGTGTGTGTGTGAGGGCTGTATGGTGTGTGTGTGTGAGGTGGAGGTTTGTGTATGTGACCCCCAGCGCCCTCCAGTGGTCAGGGCTTCATGTTCAGTCTTGATGCCGGGGCTGCCGGGCAGGGGAGACGGGGTCACTACGCTCTTCAGCTGCTGGATCACAGCCCGGCCGTTGTGTGTCCGGCTCCCCCTCTCCACTCCTGGAGTTGGGTGGTTTCCCCCTCCTCCCCCCCTGCTCTGTTTACCTCCTCCGCCTCTGTCTTCCTGTTTCAATCTGTCACTGTGTCCCCCTTGCTCCCACTCTGTCTCTTCCTCCTCCTCTCCCTCGCTCTCGCTGGCCAGGTCAGAGGATGCTGACACGCTCTCCTCTGCGTGACGGAGCTCCTCCATCCTGCGGCGGGTTTCAGGAGGAGCGCCTTCAGGCTGGGACCTCAGCAGGCGCTTCCTCCTATCCTCTGATTGGATGGAGGTGGCTGTGAATTTCTCTCTGCCTTTAGTGTCGGGGTCACTCTTCCCCGCTGAGCTCTTCACCGGCTGTAAGCCTGAGAGAGATGGAGATTTTTATAGCAAGAAATGTACAGGCAGGTGTTTGTGTGTGTCAGCGGGCATCAAAATGTGTGTTTAGCATCTTACCTCGGGCCTGTGGAGAGCTGGAGGCGGGGGACGAGCTCACTCGAAGTCGCTCTGCTCTGACGTTCTCCGGTAGCTGCAGTAGATCCAAGGGTGTGTCAGGCAACTCTGTTCGACTGGATGGAGAGATGTGGAAATGAAAAAAAGGAGGAAAAAAAGGTGTTAAAAAAAACCATGAAGCACTTCAAACCACTTAGATTAAAAAAAACCACTTGTGCCTTACTGATTTCTGAATACTCAGAATGGAAACAACATATAATCAGCCTAATAACAACCTCGAATAGCCAAACTGCCTCACACCCTTATAACCTCCATCTAACACGCACTCTACACCCAAAACAACAGTCCTTATCACTCACACACCGACATGCATGTAGACAGACAGGTGGGCAGAACCCTCCCTGCATAACACGCACACCCAAACACACACTCTGCGCTCCACTCAGCAGCCCACCTATACACAGTTAAGCTCAGACGAGGAGGAGGCTGCCGGAGAAGTTAATGAGCTCTTGTAATTACAGCACTAATTAACTAAAACACCATTCAGCCCAAAAATTCTGACATCCATTTGTTGTAATTATATAGCTTCAGTCCAATTAGCATTGAAACTCAGCCTCCTCCTCTTGTTTTTGTCTAAATGCTCCACCGCTGCGCAGCGCACACATTTTTGTTATGTACTGTACTGCATGTGTGCGTGTTTGTATGAAAAGTACATTTGCATCAGTGTCTGAGTGATTCAGGAGGGACTTAAAAAAAAAAAAAAAGAAGAAGCATATTTTCAAGGTTGCTGCAGTTGTTGTGTCTGTTAGGTGAATAAAAAAAAATGCCTCAGACAAAAAGTTAGACTACATTTTATTAATATCTATAAAAACTGAAAAAGGAAGCTGGAATTTTCTGCATCATTTTGCAAGCGATCTTATAAAATAACACCGCCACATTAAGAGACATGGAATGAAATAGTGAAGAAGTAAGCACGTAGGTCTGTTCACTGACAGACAAAAAAAACGACTCCACTCTACAAGAGCAGTCCCTTTGACTGGAATTTGATGGATTTTGTAGCAAATTTCAGAGCAAATTTGTTAAATAAATAGAAAATTGTTAAAAGGGGAAAGCAATTCATCTAAAAAAAATCAAATACATTTCACTCTTCTATGCACTGTTTCTTTACGGTTGTTTTGAACCGCCGAATTAGAAGAGAATCTGATTTTTGTCCGCCATTAAAATCCTCATCTCTTAACGTGTTCTTCGGGAAAACCTTGAAGAATCTCTAAAACTTGTTTCAAAATTTAGCACAGCTTCAAAAAAAAAAAGAAAAGAAGAAACGTTACAACTTTTAACCCATTAACATTAACTGATAATGCGTAGTGCTTTGATGTCTATTTTGAAAGTATCCTCATTTCTTTTCTCACATGGTGGAAGGAGAGAAACTCTTCCAATAATCCGTCTGTATTTCATCATCAATCCCTTCAAAGGATCTCTGTAGACAGCATGGTGCCCGAGTGTATAAACCCGCTTCATATCAGCAGTTTAAAAAAAAAAAAAAAAGGTGCAGCGCTGCTCTGGTTTTACTGACCTCAGGATGTAGTTGACCCAGATGACGTTGCGTTCGTGGGGGGCTTTGTGGTTGATGGACACGGTGGCAGAGGACTGGATCCACAGATAGCCTCCTCTCCTCTGGAGCCAGCGGTAGTAACCCGTCACCACCTGGCCTTTACGCAGCACTGGGAGGAGACAGGCGGAGAGGGCCAGAAAAGAAGCCGGGTATTAGTTTTGGCAGTTCATGATTAAGGCAGCAGAGGGCGCCGATCACAACACAGGTCGTGAAGAGATTTCAACACGTCTCCCAGATTCATCAATACCTCACGTTCAGACACTGTGTATAATAAAGAGGAGTGGGTTGAATTTCACACTCCCCAAGTGAATTTGGATATAACTCACAGTCCTCATGACTCTGCCGGAGGTTTTCCAGGTCCTCTACGTGGATGAAGTGATAACAGGTATGTCCCACCACCTCTGCTGGGGTCAGATCCATATACTCTGAGATCCTGTACAGATACACAACAACAAAATGAGTACATTTTTCTCCTTTACAGAGGCAGATGTGTCTTCTGAAAGCCCGCCACCTGGCAGGGAAACTGCTGCCAACAGCTCATGAAAAAAACATGTGGGAACATTCTGAAAACACAACCATTTTGGAGAATTAGGAGAGACACTTGTTTGTATTTATTCAAGGTCTGTACAGCACTTACCTGTTCTCACAATATGTGACCTGTAGGTCCATGTTCACTCTGAAGACAAACATCTGGCTCTCCATGCGCACTTCATTAAGCGTGGAGGGCGGGAGTGTGTGTGCCAGTGCGACCAAACCCATCGGTCGACGCACTGAGCGCGTGGAGCCTGGCACGAGTGCAGGGCGGCAGCGGATTCGTCCTGTCACATGGATTACCTGATAAAGAAAACAGAGAGGGAGTATTTGTTTTTGTTTTGTTTTTTTTCACAAAGAAAAATAGGAGGTTTGCAGAAAAGAAATACATCCAGGAAGTAGAAAACAACAGAATCAACAAAAAATAAAGATTAGAATCCTAACATGAATCAATAAATATTTAACTGAAACACAACACAACGTCCGACTCTGAGCTAAAGAATGCAGCAGCAGGTATTACAGCAGCCAGCGCAGTAAACTGTTATGTGCAGCGGTCCAGTGTGAAATAAGGTCAGAACCATAAAACACACTGAAACGACCACCTTGACAGAGCTGTGAAACCCTGGCTGCGCTAAACAAAAAGACAGAGGTCTGCTTGTTATTTCACTGTTCCCACAACAAGCAGGTACATCGGAGAATAATACAAAGGCCTGTTTTTTTTTCAAACAAGGAGAAGTTATTTCTCCTGACATTTGTACCTTGTATCCGGAGGACTTGACGTGCAGGCCTCTTTTTGTGAGTGTGGACTTCATGCGGATGAAGTAGCCACGGTCGGGAGACTCGTCAGCAGTAGAATGAGGACTAGATGGAGCTGTTGAGGATGAAAGGAGGAAAAAGAAACCCCACAGTTGAACAGTTTTTTTTATGATTTTATACCGTGTTTTTGTTGTTTCCAGGATGCAACACGAGTTCAACAGGGGAAGAATCTCCTTTTTTTTATGTATCAGATTTTTCTCTATAAAATCACACAATAATCAGTACCAGGTTCAGGTGTACCAGCCAAGGAGGAGGTGGATGCAGAGCTGGAAGCACTCTCGGGGCTATGTGACAGCCGGCCTCCGCCCTCAGGTGAGGCTTGATCCCCAGCCGCTCGGCCATCTCCACATGGTCCGCTGGGTGGATGTAGTCAAACACACTGCTGCCGGTCAACTCCACCTGAAGAGAAACACATCCGCTGATCAAAAACAGAAGCTTGGAGCACAAGTACGTACACACACACACACACACACACACACACACACACACACGCGCATACATGCTGAAAAAAAATCAATATACGTTATGACAGGAAAATGAAAGCACTGCTCTGGGTTACAACTCAACAAGGAGTGAGGAGGTTGTAAGACATTCCCACACACACACACACACCCACACAAACACACATACATTAAAGTCCAGTCTCAGAGGACCGAGTGACTACAGTATTACACAAATAAAACCAGGGGAGATAAAAATCAATTGTATTTGCTGATTAAAAACAGGTGAACTCAAAGTATCTCCAAAGGTCACATTACTATTCTTCCTCTTCCCCCATCCCTCCCAGCTCCTTCATTCAGTTACAGTCACTCCCAGCTGGCATAAAGAGCAACGCAACAGTTCATACAGCTCTATATGATCCTATCATCATAATGCATCATAGTCGCATTTCTAATCATTTAAAGGTAATCGTCGCGCTGCTCATGCACGGCATCCAAAAGAGCAGCACAATCGGAGCAGATGTGATTCCATCTGAAGCCGTATAAATGAGTGTGTGAGGGCTTGCACACATGTACGCAGCTTCTATTACATCTGTGAACGTGTATATGTGTGTGTGTGTGTGTGTGTGTGTGTGTGTGCCAATACCATTCTATCTGATAAAGCCATGGCTGCAGCAGCCTCACACCCTTGTCTGTAGGACACAGCCATTTATTACCGGATTAGAGCCATTTACTGCGGGCTTTATGGGAGCTTCAGCAGGCCCTCAAGGACATCACAGCCGGGGAGAGGAAGGAGTGGGAGAACGGGGAGGTGGAAGTTAAGGAATGAGAGCAGAGGGTGATGAGTGAAGACAGAGGAGTAAAATTTGAGGGAACCCCAACAAGTGAGGAAAGATAATAGGAGGGACAGAGGCTGTTAGTCCCAGACAAACAGAGATTCATCTATTTGGAAATGTCCTTTTTTTTTGTATTTACTATGCTACCTATAATTAACCATTGTTATACTAGTTAATCAAACCACCTATTAGTAGTCATTTGGGATGTAGAAATGAATAAAAGTGATGCTTGAAAAAAATAGTTCCCAGCTTAAAATGAACCAAACACAGTGTATATGCAAAGAATATTACAGTGGCCTGCTTAGCACTTACATTAACCATACAATCGTTTAAGTCTCTTTCACTGCGACGGCTAATTTTACTCATCAAGCTACCCTGCCTGCATATCTAAATTCACTCAAAAAAGATGTAGGTTGCCCAAGCCAGATACTCTCCTAAACTCTTGTATAAGATGCAACATGTTGATAATAAGCTCTTATTCAAACTCCCAGCAGTTTTGTAACAATATTCTCATCTGTTCACGGTCGTGTTAGATGTAAAAAAAATTGGTTAGCGAAGGGGGCAGAATAATGAAGCTAGAGTCTCCTGTGCAACTCTAACTCCAAATGACTTCACAAGCACAATATGTCAGTCCCAGGGAGTGTTTTGGCCTCACTTTTTTTACAATGGGGGGAGGTGGTCCAGCTTTATATACAGTCATGGTACATTGCAAAAGTGTAAAATGGGGTTTCAGAACTTTTTGGACTTTGAACTGTGGCCTGTATTGGACAAAGATGATGCTCCGAGAGGTGAGAGAAAACCAACACAGTGAAAAGGATCAATAAGCTCGAACTCAGTAAATCTCTGTAGGTGAGGAGAAATAAAGAGTTGGGGGACAATTCTTATTAAGTCATCACTATAAGTGATAACTATTACACTGTAACATTTTCATTTAACATATTCTGTTAAAGAAATACAAGTATATAAATAAAGCCACTTAAGGTCAAATCAGGATGTTTTTGCATGTGTTACTGTTTAAAGATCAAGGTCATCAATTCAAGTTTAAAGTTATGACTTAAAAGGAGCCAGCTCAGAGCTGTAGGTCTCGCTTTAAAAATAAGTAAATCCAGGGATAAGATCAGGGTTCGTTGAATCTTTATACAACTTACTTCTATTAATAGTAACACAGCTCACAAAAAATGTCATCAGCATTGTGTTTAGGTGTTGGATTAGTCTGCTGCATTCCTTTTGATTCTGACATGAAAACTGAGTCACTCATTAATGCTTTTAAAAATTAAGAGTTTGCATCTTTGCATTGAGAGGCTGGAAGTTTGAGAAGTAAAGAGATGGATGCAGTTCGTGAAACTTGGGTTGCTTTACAGCTTTTTGTGATTATACAGATAAATCTGTCTCTCTCTTTCTATCAATCTAGTCATCCATCAATCTATCTATCGATCTATGCTTTATGAATAGTGATTCTTCTCCTGTGTGGGGAATTCCAGTCGTTTTTAAAGAAAGACTTCATGTACCTCTGCTCACAACACTGGACCTGCCCATCTGAAAGAGCCCCGGCCCTGTGGTATTGGAAAACAAGGTGAAGAGACAAACAGGTCCTTACGGGCTTTACCGGGCTTAAGACCTATCCGAATAATATCACTCCATCAGAGGCAGAGGGGAGGGATTGAAAAAAGATCAGACAGAAATGAGCAGATGAGAAAGAGACGGAGCAATTGAGGGGATGAGTCGGGCTCAGACATGAAAACAGGTATAGAATGTTGCGCGAGGCGAGACGTGAGGAGAGACCGAGATCATTCAAATCTCTCTCTCTCGAGTGTGTGTGTGTGTGTGCGTTTGTGTGTAAGCATGCACACGGCGGCCTCTGTTTCTCTGCGTATGTGACTAGACTGTCTGTTTTTTGTGTCTCCACAAGTCATTGTGTGTCATTGTCTGTGTGAGGAGTTGTCTGCCAATGCATCTGTGTGAGCCGGTGTGCGCGTTTGTGTGTGGATACCACGTGCGTGTTTTGTATGGCAGTTTGGTGGGGATGGGTGAGGATTGGGGGTGGGGGGCAGCAAGCAAGGGGAAGGAGAGACATGATATAAATAATAGCAGGGGGCTTTAATATGTATGAGGCATCCGGGCAGTGGTCCACAACACACTCTCAGCCTCATCACTGACTGATGGGAGGCATCCGGGCAGTGGTCCACAACACACTCTCAGCCCTCAACCCTCACTGACTGATGGGAGAGAGAGGGGGAGGGAGGGGAGGGGAGGTGGAGGGGGGGGGCTGCATACTAACCATTCCCAGATCAATTCTCTCCTCCCTTAATCTACCATCCTTCCTCCCTTCTCTTTACCCCATTTATCCCTTTTCTCTCTCCTCCCGGCCCATGCTCTTACTTCTCCATCCCTTCTCTCTCTCCTCCTCATATTCGTCATCTCCTCCTTTGTCTCCTCATCCTGTCCTGCCTCCCCTACTCCCCCCCCCCTCATTTACTATGTGGCATTCCCAGGTTTATCCCCCCGTGCTTCCGGGCCGGAGACCTGGCGAGGAGAAAAATGAAACCTGGAGGCGCCAGGGGAGTGGGCGGCGGGCTGTGCCCTTGGTCAAGGTGCCTGACCTGGGCTAAGCCGGCTAAGCAGCCCCCCCGTCAGGGGAGCAGCCCAGGGTGTACACTGGGGCAGAGGGGTCAGACGGGGGGGTGGGGGGGGAGGTAGGAGATGGCCGGGCAGGGGCAGTCTGCAGGGGCGACATGCCCTCTAAAACAAACCACCAGTTACACTTTTTCACTCATCGTTTGTTTGTCTGTCCTTCCTCTCTCCCCTGTGCCCACCTCCACTCGCCAACAAAGTATATCGAAGTGTTTTTGTCCTCAGGCTCCAACCTTTCCTCCTTTCTTTAAAGTGTTTTCTTTGGACAATCTTGTACAATATCTCTGTTATAAATTCTCATTCTGCTTAACTGTAACTCTTTATCACCATGATTTTAACACATGTACGATTTATGCTTCGAACTACAATTCTACAATTCACTGAGCAGACGCTTTTTATCCAAAGCGACGTACATCAGAGAGTAAGTACAACACAAGCAAGGATCTAGAAAAAAAGGAACAATGTCAGTAAGAGCAAACGATCAGCTTTGAGTCATTGGACACACAGGTGCTGACAGGAAGTGACCAGAGGCAAAGCACAACATTGACGGCATTTCTTTAGAGCTCTAATCAGTATAGAAACCATCTTATAAGTCATCGTTATCAAACAAAAACCATCGTCACAACCATCATCATCATCATCAATAATGTCAAGACCATCATCATTAAGGTATTCATGAAAGAGCTTAACTCTTCATTTAAAATGAAACATAGTTTTTTTCTACATCTGATACCTAACTGTGCAATAATTACCCATAAATATCGGCAACAATGTTACATGGAATCGATTCTATGTACAATTTGAAATAACTACTCAAGGGATCATAAATTTAATTGAATATTAAATGTTATGTTTTCAACATATTCTACGTCTTCTCTCGCTCTCCTTTATAGCGGTCAACTGTAACACCATAATTCCCTGCTGGATCAGTAAAGAACAACTACTGTAAATCTTTTTCTGATTCAGATTTTTCCCTGCACGTGTCCATAAACACACCATACACTCCGTCCCCATATATCCCTCTAAGTCATCTCCTCAACTCCGAACTCTGTCTGCCCGTCCAGGTTGTCTCTCTTTCTCATCATAAACCCCCTCCATCCCCCCTAGCTCTCATCTTTTCTGGAAGGTAAACGTGGCGTTGTATGTTCAAGGTTTTGTGCGTAATCTTCGATCATAAATAATTTCATTAGAATGCTGATGGCTCAGGTCCTGTTTGAGGAGATGTGATGGGTTAGGCCATCTGCTCAGCTGATAAGAACAGCTCTGTTTTATTAGCATCTCCACCAAAGCCTCGGCTGTCTTGTTTACCTAGGCAATCCCAAGGCGATTTTCATTCCTACTGCACATTTAAACTCTATTTACACACTCAGACTCTCTAGCTCCTCTCTACCACTGTCTCTCTATCTCTCCCCCATTCCTCTCCCTTGTTGTTTTTTTTCTATCTTGTAATTGTCTGTCTGGTTCGTGATGTTTACATGTTCATTTTTCTTTTTGTTCTGTTGTTCATTATGTTTTGGCTGACTATTCTCAATTTTTCTGCCCTTATTACTTTTAAAGCTGTTTGCATGTGTGCATGGTTTGTGTGTTTGTCCCTGCAAAGGGAAGAATCTAGAAACTCAATAGTTGTTTCAATCAAACAGTTCTAGTCTGAGTCCAAACATGTAGGGTTACCCCCCCCCCTATCCAAAAACTTGCTTGCCCTCATCTACATTAACAGTTATTGATCTCGATCTTTTTGAACACCAGCAGTAAGCGTTCATGCCTGTGTGTATCAGAGCTGTGTGACTACAAAGTTACCCAATGGAGAACTTTCAGAAGTCAGAGTGAACTGCTAGTTTTTTCTGGACTGGTGAGAATTCCTTTTTTCTTAATTTCTAATAAAGAAAAACAAAATTCAAATGTTGCTCTACAATTGTCAAATGACAATAAAGGCTTTCTATTCAGTCCTATTCTATTCTTTTCAATTCTAGAATTTGGTTAGTGATTATCACTCTTCCAGATAATCATGTTTTTTGCTCTTGTGGTTCGCTTACCTTGCTAGGATGATGTCAAGGTGTACTCTCGGGTGTGCCGGGTGTGGTTACAGGGCCACACACTATTTGTAAATTTGAAAGTTACTCTTTTCCCAAAGTTACCCAAATTATAGAAAAAAAATGCTGTACTTGCACATATAGTTGCTCTCTTACACTGAGTAATAACTAGAGAGGAATGAAACAGTCTTAAAACATCCCATCGTTCTAAAGTGTATCATTGTGGCTTTTTCTTATGTGCTGTTTGTGGAAAGCACTCCCCCCACTCATTTACTATGTGGAATTCCCAGGTTTATCCCCCCGTGCTTCTGGCCCGGAGACCTGGCGAGGAGAAAAATGATACATGGAGGCGCTGGGGGAGTATTACCCTTAAACTGGTAATACAAATTAAATGATTAGAATTCTAATCATTAATACTATTGTTCACAGAATGCAAACACTGTGATCAAAATACTTAATACCCGACATAACCCTATAATATACACTACAGTATACTATCGTATTCTAATATAGCCACTGTAACCTGTATCTAAAGCACTAATAGAAGGGTTTTTCTTTATTTTTCATATTTTCCATATTTTAGAATAATAGTAGATTTAAAACAATACAAATAAAACATTTCATTTCTGTTTTGTTTTGGAAAGAAATACATACATACGTACGCATAAACTTCACTATTTATATTTATATAAGAAACACATAAGAGACACAGGGAGAGACACACATCAGTTGACTCAATTCAAATTGGTCAACTATAACAAAGAAATAAAGAAAAAATCACAGGGAACTTGACATACCTGGTCTACCAAAAAAAAGTTAAATACTGTAAAGGTAGATGATGTTGTTTGTATGGATTGTGATTCCTGTCTAACATTGAAAAAATACAATCCATCCACTTCTCTATTTTGGCTACACCATTTTGGTAATAACAAACACAAAAACTGAGGGTGGGGCAGTTAGACCAGTTGTGGGTACTTGCTGTATGCACCCCTGGTTGGACTCCATTTTGGTGCAGGTCAATCGGTGACCCATTACTCACATTCCATGTCTATCTTTGACTGATCTATATGAAAAAGGGTTAAAAAAAAAAAAAAACTTGGGAATAACAGAAGGCTTTACCAGTAAGATAAATTAAATGGGTACAAACTTATAGTCACTTAATGGAAACAAAACTACAAATGGCCACCAGGCAGTTTAGCTCCGCCAGGGAAGAACTGCCATTCTTATTCATAATTTCCCTCAGGCAGGTAAATCAACGCATTTAAAAAGAAAAACAAGGACTGTGGATTGTGTCCCCCATCTCTAAGTTATGTCGACTAAGGAGGAGAAGACATTTCTTTCCAAAATTAAAACATTGATTAAAAACTTTTTCGATGTACACACAGCCTGTGAGACAGGGCAGAAAAAAATCTACAGTATCCTTTAAAGTCACCAAGGGCAGACCCTCAATCACAGCAGGACTTCTACATGAAGAAACACTCCATTACTTCTGTTATTGTAACCCTAAGTAATGCTGTAGCCATTCCTCTTACTTGGAAACATCTCTCTCTTATCACACCTCTCCTCCTTTCCTCCCCCTCTCTTTCTCTCCCCGGCTGTCTCTATCTATCTTCCCATCCCCCTTGGTGTTTTTCCCCCTCCCTACAATCAATGTGGCTTTTAAGATGCCTATCGATTTGTTCCCCTAGACAGGCCCAGCGCGCTGGGGCGACACTTTGATTGCTGGGCCAGTAATTACTGTTATTATTTATGCATCTGGGCAAAATGGCAGGACTTAACATTCACAGTACAAGAGGCCACAGGCAATCAACAGAGGTGAGCACCTGGAGAGAGAGAGGGGGCGGGAGAGAGAGGTGGAGTGAGAGCGGCATGGCTCCCGAGAGAGTCACACTCCAGAGATGACGCAAAGAGTGCAGTCAAAGATATTCACACTCACACTCACACACACACAAACACACACACTCCTGGGAGGGGATATGAAAGCGTAAGCAGAAGAGAGGCACATGTGTGCAGATGCTATTGTGTACAAAGGATTATTCTTGTGTGTGTATGTGTGTGTGTGTGCGTGTGCGTGTGCGTGTGCGTGTGTGTGTGTGTGTGTGTGTGTGTGTGTGTGTGTGTGTGTGTGTGTGTGTGTGTGCATGCATGCATGTTTGTGTGTTGGTGTGGGAGAGATGTGTGTGTTTGTGTGTATGCAACGAGGTGGTCTTACCTGTGAGAGTCCCAGGTAGATAGAAACCGTCTCTGAGATGTAGAGGAAGCGTCCCTCATGGCTGACGACGAACACAAAGCCATCCAGAGACTGTGTACATAAAAAACACACATCACCCACGCATACACACACACACACACACACACACACACACACACACACACACACACACACACACACACACACACCCACACCCACACATAAAACAAACAGAAACAAGACAGACAAATTAGAGCAATTAGTGTGTATCGAACAAATTACAATGAGCTGGAGAACAAACAACCCGTCACCCCTCGGCCTCTTTTTTTCAATCCACACACACACACACACACACACACACACACACACACACACACACACACACCAACGCACACACCAACACACACACACCAACATACATGCACAAATATGAAAAAAAAAACAGACAATTACACACAACCATAGATGAACAAATCCAACACAAGACATGAAAAACTGATCTTATTGACCAGAGCTGTTTCAAACCAATGTAATAAAACTCTCTCAGGCCTCTCTCTCTCTCTTTATCTGTCTCTCACACAAACACACACTAACACACTCACACAAAACCAGACATGGGTTTGGACACAGACTGAGATAGAACAAGAGTCATTACAGTCTGCAGTGATTCTAATGAGAAGTGAAAGGTATACAGCCAGACCATTAGAGAGGACTGCTTCAGAGAATAATACTAATCGTCATAACAAGCCTCACACACACACACACACACACACACAGACCAAGGCCACTTTGCTCTAGAAGAATGATTGCTATTTTGGCGGCCCATGCTTAAAGTGGCAGTGGTAATTTATGCAACTGACACATCCAGTATGCAAATGTGTGGCCGGGGTGCGGGGCGTCGTGTGTCGCGAGGATAAACCAGCCGCCTGAATGTCGGAGAACTAAAGTGCAATTATCAAGCCATTACAGCGGGAGGACGGCTGGGAGGGAAGAATCATAGAGTTTTTCTGGAGCGTTAATTTGATTTCTATCAGCGTTGTTTCCCCGTGACTCCCTTCCTCTTTAAAATGCCAGAGGAGAGCAGACATATGTGACGTTTCTTTGTTTTATCACAACCTTCTCGATTCAAACATCTATTCCCTCTTCCTTTTTTTTTTTTTTTTTTTGTCTCAACCTGTTCCCACTCCTTCCTGATTCCTTCTTAGATAGGATTGATTTTGTTCCACCTTTCATCCACACGTACAATCAAAACTTTTATTTCATAAAAGACGAGGACCAAGTGTTTCTTCATCTCTCTCCTCTTTGGTCGCTCTCCTCTCTCCTCCCTCCTCCTCCCTCCTCCCTCCTCTTAACTAAAACCTGCAGTGTTACCTTCTCTGCACTTCCTCTGAGCCTTTGTCTCGACATCCTGCATTTCGTCATCCCCACAGCCCTCCTGCCCCAGAAACCCCCCCAGGCTCCATTCATCTGTCAGTGCAACATGGAGGCATTCTTTGGCAGCCTACGAGATCGTCCGAGCGTCTGAGGTTCATGAGACACGCGGGTGTCCATGTGTGTGAATGTGAGATGCTGTGTGATTGCTCATGGGCTTTCTGAGAGACTGGGGAAGAGTTTAACTGGTGCACACACACACAAACACACACACACACACACACACACACACACACACAGCATGGACCAACTGTTGAACAAGGCGGCCACTGAAGTTAGCATGTCCATGAAAACTTGAGAAAACTTTTAATCTGTTCTGAATTTAGAGTTTCCCTTAAAACTGTATTGAAGCAGATCTGTCTGAAAGAAAACAGACGTAGTTTTTAAACTTTCTTTCCAATGAAAAGAGGGATTATGGGATGAGAAAAGTTCCTACTTCTCCATTAAACTACATCAGAAATGTGTGGCCAGACAGCTGAATAACAGGCAGTTTTGAAGCCATCGTTTCCCACAGGTCAGTGACAACAGATTTCACACTACTATGAAATGTCCTCATTGCAGAGCATATGGAATCAGAATAATCATCAGAGGAGAGAAGGATAGGTGTGAGTGATTAGCTTATTACCTGCAGGAGGTGCGCCCCAAGGTGCTGCTCAAACATGTCAGTCGCCAGAGAATGAGATGATCGTCTTACTGCAAAGAGAATGAAGATAAACATGACACACTGGCTGAAAAATAAATGCTTTGATACACATTTAAAAGCTTTAGGAGTTCTAATAATAGATAATAAACAGTATCTGAGCAACTGAAGAGCAAAAAGTGTGATTAAATAAAAAATAAAATGCAGCTGTCTACTGTTTAATTATTGTCC